TAAATGAAAGCCATAAATCCTGATACTCTATGCACCCAGGTACCAACAAGATGTACAGGGATTTGAAACCATTTTATTGGTTGCCCGGATTAAAGAGGGACATAGCCAGATATGTGGAACAATGTATAACATGTCTATAGGTAAAGATTGTGCATCAAAAGCCATATGAAAGTCTTCAATCTTTAGAGATTCCTGTGTGGAAATGGGATCACATTATAATGGATTTCGTCATGAAGTTACCTCGAACTCCAAAAGGGTATGACGCGATATGGGTAATTGTTGATCGCCTATCTAAATTTGCGCATTTTCTACCTATAAGAGAGAATTACTCTTTAGAAAAGTTGGCAAAGGTTTATATTAAAGAAATTGTAACCAGGCACGGAGTTCCACTGTCTATTATATCTGATAGAAATAGTCGTTTCACTTCATAGTTCTGGGAATGTTTGTAGAAAGCTCTAGGGTCAGAAATCCGACTAAACACAGCCTATCATTCGCAAACTGACGGGCAAAGTGAAAGAACTATCCAGACTCTCGAAGACATGCTGAGAAGTTGTATCATTGACTTCGGAGGTTCATGGGAAGATCATTTGCGACTGATAGAGTTTGCATATAATAACAGTTACCATTCCAGCATCCAAGCGACACCATATGAAGTGTTGTATGGATGTAAATGTCGAACGACGTTGTGTTGGAACGAGGTAGGAGAAAAGTAGTTGACAGGTCTTGAGATTGTTCAAGAAACTTCAAAAAAGATTGAACAGATCTGTGAAAGAATCAGAATAGCACATCATCGCCAGAAAAGTTATGATGATAATCGTTGAAAACCGATTGAATTTTGCATGGGTCATCTTGTGATGTTGAAAGTTTCTCCGTGGAAGGGTGTTATCAGATTCGGAAAAAAGGTAAGCTTAGTCCAAGGTATGTTGAGCCGTTCAAAATATGTAGACGAATTGGACCAGTAGCTTATCAGTTGGAACTACCAGAAGAACTAAGTCTGATCCATAATACTTTCCATGTATCAAACTTACGGAAAAGTTTAGCTGATCTGAGTCTCGTTGTACCGTTACTAGAGGTTAAACTGGACAGTAAGCTGAACTTTGTGGAAACACCAGAAGCCATGATTGACCGAAACATCATGGTGTTGAGAAATAAATAAATCAGTTTGGTTAAAGTACAGTAGAAGTTCCACAAAGGATCAGAGGCAACTTGGGAATTGGAATAAAAAATGAGGTCAGAGTATCCATGGCTCTTTGATTAAAGGAATTCGGGGACAAAATTCTTTCGAGGGGTGGATAATGTGATAACCGGATCCTGATTATCACCCGAGGTAGTTAATATGTGATTATTTGATAAATGATTATGTGACAGCATGATAAATTGTTATATTGATCATGTAAATATGTTAAATTATGTGCACAAATGAGTATGCAACAAATATGTGGGTATTGATATGCATTAATAATGCATGTGTGCATATTAATGTCATAAATATGTGCATGTGTGCATGAATGAAGCATGGATGGATGCATGGTTGGAGGCGGTTTAGCCGCCATGCTCTTTTTAGAAAGAGTATAAAAAGGAGTGTGAGGTTATCATTTTCTCTTCTTGCCAATTTGAGAATTTTTGTGCGATTTAGAGAAAAAAGTGGTGATCGGATTATTTTGATCGAAATCAAGTAGAAGGATTCAAAGTTTTTCTTGCTTTTGCTAAAAATCAAGGTGAGTGGTTTACCATTTTATTTCAATTGTGAAGTAATTCTTTTGGTTTGATTATTATTTGTTTTGAAAACTTGTTTACCCAGTTTACACTTAAACCGGACAAAGCGTTGAGCGGTTTCAGGTTAAATCGCTTGATGTGTTGTCCGGTGTAGCCTTAAATCAGACATAAGGTCATGCGATTTAAGTGTTTATGGGATTTGAGTTTTATAAATCGGATAAAAAACATTGAACGAAGAAGTAGGAATACGACCAAGGGGTGATCGTTTTATTGATAAATTGAACAAGGGTTGCCCGATATATTCTAAATCGCTTAATGTGTTGTTCGGTTTAGATGTAAACCGGACAAGGCTTGAGAGAATGATTGTCCGAATTGATAAATCGGATAAGGGCTTGTATTGACCGGAGTGGTAAATCGGACACAATGCATAGTGTTGTCCGGATTAGTAAACCGGCCAAGGCTTGACCGGAGATGAAGCCCGACCAAGTCTAGGTTGACCGGATTTGTTTACTTGTGTATGGTTTGTATAAATTCTTATTTCAATAATCTTGTAAAAAGAATGGGAATTTTGATAAAGATGGTTTTGAATTGATGATATTCCATTGGAACATTTATGACTGTGGTCTGTTCTATATGAAATTGTCTTGTGAAATATTTTGATGAGGAAATAAGGGTCGCATATCAAGGAGAGGTGTACCATGGGATAAGAGTGACATATCAAGAAGATGTGTACCTTTGGATATAAGGATGGCATTTGAATGTGTGATGTATAATATAACTCTTACTATTATATCCTATAAGATTACTGAGATTTGGAATCTTTATTTCTTTGTGATTTAAGGATTTAGAATCAATGTTCTTATTGGAAATTATAGTCTCGATGTTATTGAGGCTTGGCCTGGAACTTTAAATAAATCTTGTGTTAATTGAAAAGGTTTAAAAGTGGCATTATGATAAACCTGTTTGAGTTTTACATGTGTTATTGAAAGCTGAGAGATTGGCTTGGAATTGAAAAAGTATTGGTAATATGAGGTATTTGTTCATATATTTGTTATTTATATGAACCATAGTTTTTAAATAAATGATTTGGTGATTTACACCCTGTAATGACATAAAAAGGGAAGCTCACTAGACCTATTGGTCTAACTCTCGTTTTGTTATTTTAAATATGTATTGCAGGAGTTGCAGACGGTAAGGGAAAGGGGAAAATGTAAAATTTCGCTATATGCATATCTACTTGAAGATTTGACTATGCTATGTATAGTCTCGTTAGAAGAATGTGGAGTAATACAAGAATTGTATTTTGAATTTTTGGACTATGTATTCAGTATTGATAAGTTCTTGTACTAAGGGACCTATGTGGTGTATAAACATGTATTTCTTATGTATGAAGTATATGTTACATGCAATGTGTGGTATGGGGTGTTACACCTCTCTATATCCTTTCCTCCCGTCAAGTCTTGCATCTCTACGACCTATTGGATCTCTAAAAATACATAAAACCACCATGTCTAACCTCAACTGCTCATCCAATACCTCCTCTTCACTCCATCAACGAACCCGTTTTATAATTCATCCCAGCTAAAATAGTTCTCTACAAGGATACTCGAATGATTGTTTCTATAAAGACCTTGTAAAAAAAATTATTTGTTTTAAAGACAAGACCAAAAAATGAGCCAAAATTGTTGAAAGCACAAGAATACAAGGGGCTACCAAAAATGTATTAAAACTATGGGATAGACAACAAGAACTTACAGTTTATGTTGACAACAAAATTTGAGGTGTTCGTAGAAAAACCTTGTAACAATTTTTATGCATATATTACATGCACAACCACCTTCGCGATTTCCAATCCTGCTACCGATCCTTGTAGATGTCCTCCGCCCGACTACTATCACGCAGACAGAGGTAGGAAATCATCTTCATCTTTTAGATGGTATGAGGATTGTACAGTGAACCTACACATCACATTTCCGAGCATATCAGATTCGTCGTGCAACCCATATAGCGGGATTAGATTAAACCACCAGTTTTTATACAATTTAAGAAATGATACATTTCCTATACTTATCCATACCAGAAACAAATATGGGTCTATGTGTACCATTCTGCTTACGAACTCGATTATATGTAACAACGGCTCTCTATGTGGTGGTGTAGGCCGACCAATAGGAGCAAATCCAGCAACTCCTTCAGGTGGGGTAATGAAAGAGTGTGTAAAACGATCCAAAGATGTGTAAAACGACCCAAAAAAGCCCCTCACGTGAAGGGTACATGATCATGGACTTTTCTTTTAACAAACGTTAGCGATAAGGATCCAAACGGAAAGGGGCGCAATCCGTTGATTTCTCAAAACAAGAACAAGGTTCGTTAAAGAAAACCTAATCATAAGAACATAACATGTAATTCGCTTTCGATATTAAATACGTGACAATTGAAAAAATTATTTGAACTTCTTAAAACCAATTCGGTTACCGATTACAAAACCGGTCCTTATGGGCATACCATAATCGATTTAGAAAAGAAGGTTAACCTATTGGGCCTAACTTGTTCTAACAAGTCTCCTTAACCGGTTACAAATAGGAACGAATTCCGTCAATATCTTGCCTTGTGCAAAGTGTGTGTTAAAAAGGATAAAACGTGCTCAAAAAGTTTATGAAATAGAAAATTTTGAAATAAGAAGTAAAAAAAAAAAAACCATTGGTTTTGCATTATATCATCTATTGATAAAGTTGTCAATGTGCATTAATCTGTCTGTATAGATTGACAGGTTTTTGTTTGAGAGGGATTTTTCTTTGATGAATGGAGCATGCTTTTTAATTTGGAAAAACTTGTCTTTCTACATAAAGCTCCCCCTAGAAGCTTATTGAATAAGTCACTACTATATCATTAAATTACTACCAAACAGTCATTTATAGCTGAACAAATAAACTACAAGTCCTATTAAGCTCATTAAGCTTCTAAAAAACAGGCTCAAAGCCTACCTCTCAATATCCCTTCCTCCCGTCAAGTCTTGCATCTCTACGACCTATTGGATCTCGAAATATACATAAAACCACCATGTCTAACCTCAGCTGCTCATCCAAGACCTCCTCTTCACTCCATCAACGAACCCATTTTATAATTTATCCCAGCTAAAATAGGGCTCAACAAGGATACCTGAATGATTGTTTCTATAAAGGCCTTGCAAAATCTTTTAGTTATTTTAAAGACAAGACAAAAAAAATGTGCCACAATTGTTAAAAGCACAAGAATACAAGGGGACACCTAAAAGGTATTAAAACTATGGGATAGACAACAAGAACTTATAGTTTATGTTGACAACAAAGTTTGAGGTGTTCACAGAAAAACTTTGTAACATTTTCTTTATGCATATATTACATGCACAACCACCTTCACGATTTCCGAAATCCCGCTACCGATCCTAGTAGATGTCCTCCGCCCGACTACAATCACACAGACAGAGGTGGGAAATCTTCTTCATCTTTTAGATGGTATGAGGATTGTACATTGAACCTACACATCACATTTCCGAGCATATCAGATTCTCCGTGCAACCCACATAGCGTGATTAGATTAAACCACCGGTTTTTATACAATTTAAGAAATGATACATTTCCTATACCTATCCATAACAGAAACATATATGGGTCTCTGTGTACCATCCTGCTGACAAGCTCGATTATGATTTTGGTGCCGCCTATGTAACAACGGCTCTCTATGTGGTGGTATAGGCCGGCCAACCGGACCAAATCCAGCAACTCCTTCAGGTAGGGCATTGAAATCAGTTGGGTTGGATGTTCCTTTATTGGTAGCATTCGATGTTTTGATGTGATAACAATGTCGAGATCGATTCTGAAGGATTAATACAAAAAAACATATGGATAGTTTAGAACTCATAAGGTTGTCTTTTTTAAATGATCAACAAAATGATATACCTATATCTCTAAAAAGACTACCATAATCTAACCACGCAAAACAAGCCCTGTATCTCCCTCCTTGAGGTGGGTTGTGGGTTCATAGAACTGGCATCTATCCCAAAGAGAAGAGCAGTTGCTTTCGTGAAGACTCCCAACTTCTAAAAAGGTTTCGAGAACACAGCGTAAGAGTTTAACAATGGTGATCAAGATATTGGCATGTCAAATTTGCAAATTTACAAAATAAATAAATAAATAACGAGTTCCAAAACTAACAAAATATGAAATTTACCATGTTCGTGAAGTATGTCATGGTGCCTCTTGGATTGGGATCATTGGGAACGAAAGGTG